TGTGTATGTGTTTTTGTGATAGGCAGGTGTGGGTGCCTTGCTTGCTGGCTGCCTTGAATTTCTCCTGTCAGAGAGAGCCAAGATGGCAATTAATCATCATTCATTAACTGCTGATGGACAGTCGGCTTGGCAGAACCCAACACTGACTGGAACTTTGAGGGTTTGCCTCTGTAGAAGTAAATTCCTGCTGATGCTTGGACATTTTCAAAAGACAGCAGACTAAACTATATAAATTATGAAACAAAATAAAAATCAAAAAGCCAATTTGAAAACTAGGAACCTGGAGTGGGCTGCCTGGAAAACAACCTTAGAAGAGAAAACAGATAAAAAGGTGTGTGTCTGGAAAACTACAGAGAATTATGTATCGTCTAATAATAACATTAATTTCAAGTTCATAGTTTTTACAAGGAATCAGAATTTTCCATCAGATGCATAGATGGTACTAACCTTCTGAAAATCAATTTCTTGTGGAATAATGTTTAAAAACGTACGTTTTCTAGATTATCTGTCAAAAAAGTCAAGTTTAAAGTTAAGTTTTAAACCTTGAACTGACACTAATTGCATCAAATGTGTGGAATTACTTGGATCACTGTGAGATCCAAGTAATTATCAATGATGAGAAGAAACTCCAAATAAATAAAAATAAGTAAAAAAAAAGTCAAAAACTTCAGATGTGCTACATTATGTAGTTTTGTACAAACCTTTGGAGGCTTAGAAGGAGTTATTACCTTGGTGTGTGCAATGAGCAGACAGTTTGAGTGCTCGTGTTCGCAGGCAATCTCATATTCAGGCAACATGTCAGCTAGCTGCTGAACGAAGGTGACCACTTCCTGGTGCCAGGGAACATTTGCCATTGTCAGGCTGCTCGCAGAGCTTTCCCCGCAGTATGTCACCCCCTGGAAACACATGAGCAGACAATCAGAAACAGAGTACAGAAAAGAAAGATTTACAGATTTTAACAAACATATTTTTACCCCACAAAATACAGAAGAGAAACGATGCAAGTAAAGGACAAATAATTTCCTACACAAACTTCAGCAAAACAGCTTTTTGTCTCCATACAAAGGCTTTAGTTTGAGTGACAGAGTAATTTTATTTAGTGCCGCAGTGTCTGTCAGCAAGACGGCACGAACTACAAGGCCAACATTCATAAAAGCTTTTTGAGATGTTGAGCAAAGGAACAACTAGTTCGATTTTTAGATCATATCTGAATCGGTGTCTTTAAAATAGCAAAACAGCAATTGTGGAGCATTAAAACACATCCACTTGTAGTTGCTTAGTACTAAATTTGTTTTTTTTTTCTCTTTCATTTAAACGCATAAATAGATTTTCCAAGAAACATATTTTAGCAGAAGTGGTTTTTTGATTGAACATCAGCTATTAAAAGCATAAATGCTTCTGTATTCATGCCTTCATCAAAAGATCAATACTGAAAAATGAAACTGAGTGAAATATCTAAGACTGGAAAATGCAGAGTCTTTTCTGGTGAGCTTGTACTTTGGATACTATGGACAGGTATGACTTTTAAATATTTACCAGACCAATAACATGTGTGAGATACTGTAAGATCAGATCAAATACTTTCCTCTGAAAACAAGTATTATTGCTTAAAATTCTTTAGAGTACAGCAATCAAAAGTAGACTATCCTGAGGAGAAACTGAAAGACTAGACAGAAGTCCACAAAAACATAAAAAAAAGAAACTGGTTAATTTTTAAACCAATATAGATCTAAAGGAACCACAAAGATGTTCAATGTAAAGCATAAAAACATCCAGATTGTAATTGATTGATCAAGTCAATTACAATCTAATTAAGCTGCAATGAGTTCCTTTTGTTGGCTCCATGAGGGCAATGACTGGCAACTGACCATTCACCTTTTATGTAGTGACTTTTATGATTCATTTGACCCTGATGTTTCTCGCTCTAACTAATGCTCATTTTGTGAAATTGATAAGACTTGAAGACCAATAGTGGCTCTTACTCTGCATTTAATCTTTAGTTGTTATTAATCACTGGCTCTGTTCCACAGTTTGTCATCCTCCCCTCATCTCCAACCAGTCAAGGCAGATGCCCACCCCTCCCTGAGCCTGGTTCTATTCGAGGTTTCTTTCTGTTAAAAGGGAGTTTTCTCTTCTGTTGTTGCCAAATTGCTTGCTCGTAAGGTTCAACTGATTGTTGGTGTTTTCTCTGTATTATTGTAGGTTCTTGAACTTGAACTGTTGGGATTTAGCGCTAGATAAAAAGAAACTTTTGCAGAGGAGAAAGCAATAAGGTGAATACACCTTTCACGAACTTTTGCCATTATCTGAAAGAATCTGCTGCAGACTAAAACCCCGTGTCAAGACTGTCATTTGCTCTAACTAGAAGAGGCTTTACATTATACACCAAAAAGATTATAGAGGTCACAGACAACTGTTTTGTCAGAGCTTGAAGTTTTTGTATTTCTTAGTGAATAATCACTGAGCCAGCCTCTTAATAGTTCACTACAACTCTCAAAGCAGTACAGAGGAAGAAGAAATCAGTGTATGCATCAGGATTTAAGGAATGTTTTCAGTAGTACCTATTCAGATATGAGATTTTCAGAAAAAAAAACAGAAAAAAACAATTGTCCTGTACAACTGGAAAAATGGATGTATTTACACATGATTATTGATATGGCAAAAACTGGAAAGTGTTGGGGACCTTCACAAACAGAGATGTTACCTAAAACCCTTTAAAAAAACGATTTTACAGAGTTAAAAGCAAGAATCCACAGCACACGACGCAACTGTTTTTTGAAGAAATCTTTACACAGACCCAGTCAGCCATTACTTCTTTTAATTAAAGCTTTACACATGAACCACTGCATCATGTTCCTGTCACGACTAACTGCATAAACTTTAAATAAAAGGTGTGATTCACAATAATCACAATAAGTTTAGTGAAAGGCAGTGAAACCAATAAAGTTAACGCCTAAAGATAAAAATTTCATTAGCCACAAACCTTCGAATGGTTTTGTTAAATATACTGCTGTAGGTCATCTTCACAGCATAAAGCACATCTGAACAGTATTTTATAAGTTCTTATAAGCTTGAAGAAAATGAGCTGAAAGACCCTGTTTTACACAGTTCCTTCTGTATGATATATTGTTGTCAACATTTATTTCATAGCTTTCATTTTTCAGTTGTTGTTCCTTTAGCGCTCTCCTCATCTGCCTCCATCTCCGCCTCTCCCATCATCCTCCTCTATCACACCAATCCTCTGCTTGTCCTCTTTCACTACATTCAAAAATGTTCTCTGTGGTTTTCCTCTTTTCTTCATGACTGGCAGCTTCATATTTAACATCCTTTGTCCACTATATCCACTCTCTCTCCTCTGCCCATTACAATGCTCAATCCGAAACCTGTCCATAATGGTCACTCCCAATGGAAATCTTAACCTCTTCAGCTCTGCCACCTCCAGTGCGGTGCCCCAACTTTTTGTTAGTGTCACCATCTGCAAACCATCATAAGACTCACTAAAAACTCAATTTGGCTGCTCAGATCATCACAGTAGATGAATCTGCATTGTTGATTTTTCATGTCATATACCTTTCCTGAAACAACACTCCCAGGGATCTATGTCTCCTCTCATTCTCAAACTGAGGATCTTTTGCTTTTAGGCGAATACATTAACCACTGCACCACTAAGCACTGTAACTAAAGCTGTGTAAATCATCTCTTTCACTCTTGGTACAATCCACTATTTAAATACTGTACTGTGACTCTTCTTTTCCGAGTCCGCTTTTGTTATCTTTTAGATTCTTTGTTAAGTAAGACCCAAAGAAAAAGCCCCAAGTACTAATTTGTCTGTTAGAAATAATCTATTTGGCTTCAAACTCTGGAAGTTTGAAGACATGACATGTCCAGGGAAGTAAAAATAGTTGATGCTTCACCATTTCAGAGAGCCAGATTTAAAAAAACAAACAAACACAAATCTGACGGCTGAGGTAAAATTTCTTAATCCAATAAAAATAATTTTCACCTAAGAAAGAATTGGTTGTCAAATGAAACGAACAGTTTCATTTCTCTGTTGGAGAATTTACTCCACTCCTCAGAGAGAGGCTACCCAAACAGCAGTTTTACAACTGATCTCTTTCTCGCACCGGTCCACCCATTACAAGACTGCCCTTCACATTTATTCTAGTCAATCTACTGAGGAGCTGTAGGGGATCTGTGAATCCAGTTGTGAGCTGCAGCCATTTCTACAATAATCCAACCTCATGTCTTCTAAGACTGATTGCAAATTCACTGCACCAAAAAAAAAAGTTGACACAGAGTGTAAAATTTCTTTGGGTTGGGTTTGAAAAGACAGAAATTGGGTGGCTGAGAGCAAACACAGTGGGAGCGCTGTACAAAATTGATGGGAGACCTTGGAGTTATCAGCCTTGCCCGGAGGCCTGCTGAATAAAGATCAACCATTCAGGAATCTGTATAAATCATCAGGAAGGGGCCTGGGCAGGAGGAGTGTGCAGCAGGAAGAGATGGGGAAAGATCTTTGAGATATATGGTAGAAGATATTGTACTGTGTGGGAGAGATGGAGCAAAATAATAAGAGTCCCTCACCTGTTCAAATAATCTGTGTCTCTTACCTTTAATGGAAATCATAAATGTTAGTCATGGAGGCCTCACTCACACTGTGCAACATATCCCTGTGCGCTTTTCACCAGATTTATCTCAACACGCTTACATGCTGGCCTGGCTCTTCTCTTTCTGTGTCTCTTTTGCTCTCAGTAATCCATTTCCTTTCAGACCAAGTGAGAGACTGTGGCAGGTAATTGGTATTGATGCTGGACTAAGATGATAAATTAGGCACTGGGCAATTGGACAGACGATGGTAAACCGTACAGGCAGAATGTGTTGTGCCACAGAAAATGACGAACTAGTTATTAGTGGGTCGGTAATAAAGGTCTTGTTGCTGGTGATGGTGGACATGCACATAAGCATGCAATTCATCATTCTTAAAGAGCCACAATTCATCTTAATTAATGGATGCTATGCACACACATACACACACACACACACAGACTCAATGAACACTGAAGCTGTTCTGAAGGCTCATTTTTAACAACTGTTGAAAAACATTGTTGTAAAATACCACTGGGAAGGTAATTAAGTTGATTTTTTTCAGGTGTCCAGATGTTTCTGATCTTAACTATGGTAACAATGTCATAAATTTTCCCACTTCTATATGTTCCTAGTCTGCTACCCGTAATTTCTCAAAAAACTCTTAAACCTAGCATTTTGTCCTTATCCTATCTGCAAACCTTTGGACTTTAGGACTTTTAGACTGAAGCATGTTTGTTACGCCATTTATCACTGACCTATGAATTTATTCACGAGGAAAGAATGGCACCTAACTCAAGGGTTAACTAGTATTGTGTCTACAGATAACAGACAACTTGGGAAAGAACCAATTTAAAATACATAAACACCTAAGATAATTTAGTTTGATAATAAAATTGTATTTTTTGCTGAAACAAGGTGATTTCCAAAACCCTGAAACTTGGCATATCTTGGCATGCTGTGCAGTGTGTCCTTAAAGATAAAATGAGGAAACTGGACAAATAAAGGACAAAAGAAAAAGAGAGTTCAGTCTTGAAGAATAAAGGTGGTCATACCAAATACTATTATTTTAATATTTTAATAGTATTTGGTATAGTACATGCAGACATAATATTTCCATGTCTGCATGTGTTTCAGTAAATCACTGCAACTCTTTCCCAATTTTCCTACCAAAATATAAAGAAACAAGAGGTGGTTTAAGACTCTTGGAAAGTACTGTAAATCTTAAGTTAAGATTATTATAACTACTAAAGCCATTCACAGGCCCGAGCAACCCCATCGGTCAGCAGTAAAAGCCCATTTGAGAGCTAGC